CACACGGTCCCGGACGCTAAACAGCTCCTCGACCTTGTTATCCGCAAGGGCGTCCTTCGGCAGGCTGTGCCGCGTGAAGAGATCCGGCAGGGGGGCAGTCATGGCTGGATATGTGTGTGTGTGTGTGTGGAGCCGGGGTAGAGGCGGCAGGAGGGCGAAACAAAGGGCAAGGAGAAGAGAGAGGGGGAGCTGGGCAATTCCAACAAAGAGGTCTACCGAACGCCGGAGACGAGGCAGCAGCCACTAAACCTTTTATGTGCGCCGGGGGAGGGAGGGGCCCCCGCCCGCCGGCCCCCGCCACCGACGAAACGCCCTGGCACTTGGGCCCCGCCGAAAAGATCGCCCCGATCGCCAGGGCGGCAGGACTGCCCCGCTGGGACACAACGGCCACCGAGCCAGTGTGCCAGCCCCGCCCGACGGTCGGAGGCCCTGACCCCCCCCCTTTCCCCCCCTGGAGGCCAGCAAGTACGATGTGTGGCGGACAGGACCAAATGACCGAGATTGGCCGCCGTCCGCCGGGAGGCCCCCGGGGCAGCCGATCGGTTCTCAGCCGCCATTGGGGGGGGGGCGGGACGAAGTGAACACTGCCGTTCCCACCCCTGCCACACGCGTGACCGGCTGCTGCCCTACGAGGCGCGGTGGCAACTCCGCGCACCCCCCCCCCCCCTCCTCCCGGCCCCCCGGCGCATAACGCCTGGTACGTTGGGGAAAGACGCGAGGAGGGGCCCCGTGGGGGCCGCGCCGGCGGACAGACGCCGCCGCGCGCGGGAGCGCGCAACCTGCTGAACTTCCATGATGCCGGGCGTGCCGCCCGAGACATGCAGGAAGTATCCCCACGGACTTCCCTCTGCCCGCACACCGCCCCGGCTGGGATGTGGCAACTCCCCCCCCCCCCCCCCCCTCTCGCCCGCTCCCGCTCTCGTCCACAACCGCCGGGAGGGCGAATCTCCGGCCGCCGGTCGGTTAAGCCATTAACCATAACACGCCGCCTCCGCAGCTGGCCTCCAGTTACCGGAGGGGCCCGACGCTCGACAGGTGCCCCTGCGCCCCGCTCACCGGACCGGCCGCCGATCTGGCCAGACGCCCGCAGACAAGACCAGCCCAAGAGACCATGCCCCCCGAGGAAGAGACCCGACCCGAAGAGGCCGCCCTCGCGACGGCGCGATGCCCTCTCCCGCGAGACAGCCCTCCCCCGGTCCCCACCCCCCCTGTCACTGGATCTTTGGCGATCCCGCCCCCATGCAAACGCCCACGCAGGCGCCCCGGCGCAGAGACCCGCACGCGCAGCGCCTCCTGCTTCCGCCCCCCCCCCCCTCCTCCTTGCCCTTCTCTGCCGCGAGTCGCGTGCGAAACCCAATCTGGGCGCCCGGACATACACAGCACCAGCGGGGCAAACAAAACAAAAATAGAGCGCGTGTATTTCCTTCCACACATGGGCAGAGTGCATGTGCGCGCGCACAGCGCCTGCGCACCAACAAACAGGGGGGGGGGGGAGAGGGAACATTCCACCTGCCGCACACACCACCGCGCCCTCGCGTACACGCGGCAGAGAAAAAAAGGGGGAAAGAACCCCCCGGCTCCGGCCGCACACTGTCACTTGAAGTCGCTGTCCGAGAAGTCGGAACTAGACCGGGAGGCGGCATCGGTGCCCGCGCCGCCGGTCGGGGAGGATATCCCACTGCTGCTGTTGCTGACGCTGAAGGAGATCGGCGCACTAAGCGGGGCCATCTGGATGGACGGGTCGGTGGCCGTGGCCGGCAGGCTGACCGCCGCGTCGAAGTCCACCAGAATGAAGTCCTCATCGAGCAGGAGGTCCCGGTCGCCGCTCGGAGGAGCCCGGGGCGACGACAGGGCAGACGAGGCCCGGGAGGAGGCCCCAGACGAGTCGCTAGACCCGTCAGCATGGTGGACACTGCTCTCCGAGTCGCTGGGGGCGCCAGGCTGAGGGGCAGGCTCGGGCTCGGGCTCGGGCTCGGGCTCGGGCTCAGGAGCGGGCTCGGGCTCGGGCTCGGGCTCGGGCTCAGGAGCGGGCTCGGGCTCGGGCTCGGGCTCGGGCTCGGGCTCGGGCTCGGGCTCGGGCTCGGGCTCAGGCTCAGGAGCAGGCTCGGGCCCAGGCTCAGGAGCGGGCTCAGGAGCAGGCTCAGGAGCAGGCTCAGGAGCGGGCTCAGGAGCAGGCTCAGGAGCAGGCTCAGGCTCGGGGTGTGGAGTCAAAGGCGGGGAGGGCGCTGGGGTGAGCTCCGGCGAGGAGTCGGGGGACGAGTCGGAGGAGCTGGTCCCAGAGTCCGAGGAGCTGGTGTCGGAATCCGAGGAGCTGGTGTCGGAATCCGAGGAGCTGGTCTCCGAGTCGGAGGAGCTGGTCTCCGAGTTGGAAGAGCAGGCGTCCGAATCCGAGCTCGGATCTTGGCCATCCGAGGGGGCTGTTGCGCCAGGGAGAGGGAGGGCACATGCATTTTATTTTTTTTTACCGAAAGGTCAGATACAAGAAGAAGGCCAGCAAGCGTGCGAAAAAAAAAAAAGAGTGCTCGAGGAAAGGGGGGAGAAAGCATACCACACGACCCGGGGCTGGCGGTCGGCGAGTCGATGCTGCGCGCATACTCCACCAGGGTACCGGTCACCGGAGCAGACTCCTCGCGAATGGAGCCATCCACGGCGGCCAGGCAGGCCGATGACGACAGCGAGGAAGCCAGCGAGGAGGAGCACTCCACGGCCAGCGAAGAGGGGGTCGGGGTGCTCGGGGCCCCGGCCGGCAGGCCAACGCCCCCCGGCTGATGGGGCTCGGTCGGCTCGGCCGCCGAGAAGTCCGGCCCCCCATCACCAGACACCACCAGGGGAAGGGCCGCCGCCGGCATCGCGGCCGAGGAAACCTCCCCCGGGGCCGAGGCCACATGAAAGGCCACATGCGGGGGCATCGATGGGATGGGGGCGGCTGACGCCTCGCCCGAGGCACCGCCGCCAGCTGCCATGGGGGGCACCTGCACCGGCGGCTGCACCGCATTGGCCATCTCCGAGAAGAAGGACCGGAAGTCCAGGAAGATTCGCTGGCCAAGCTCCTGCATGAAGAGGGCAATGTGGCGCGGCAGCGCGACCAGGGTGTCCAGCAGCGAGGTGGTGGCCACCGGGCCGGTGCCGGCGGCGCCGGCGGCGGCCCCGGCCGCGGTCCCGGGCTCCGGCACCGAAAACACAATCCCCAGGGCACGCTCCGTCGACAGGAAGAGCTGGCGCATGGACAGCTGCAGGGCCTCTCCCAGCCCGGACAGCAGCCGCATCAGGTCATCGATGCGCTGGCGGATGAAGCCCATCGGGCCGGTGCCCTGCAGCGCCCCGGCCCCGGCCGGCTGATACACCGCGCTTGGGATGTGGTCCAGCGACTGCCCCGGGTGGAAGGCCCCCTCCGGGTGCCCGGTCACCGGGTTGTCCAGCAGCTCCCGGAAGAAGGCTACCAGCTGTCGGGCAGACAGGCGGCCCGGGGGAGAAACCAGCCCCAGGGAAAGGCGGGGCCCCGAAGTTGCAAGCAAGAATGGGACACCGTGGCAGGAGACCGTGGCAGGAGACCGTGGCAGGAGAGCAGAACAGAGGGTCAGGGCAGGATACAGGGGAGACAAGGGGAGGATGGGTAGGGGGGCGGGGGGGGAAAAAAAAGCAAGACAAAGCAGCCACGCACATGCTCAACCACAATGTCCTCGGGGGCCTCGCAAAGGGCGGCTCCGGGGACCGATGCACCACCGGAGCCCGATCCCCGGGGCGACAGCGGCGGCGACGCATCCAGCGGCACGCCCAGGATGGCCACGCCGCTGACCATCTCCGATGGGCTGGCCCCGCAGACAATGGTACTGAAGCCGGTCTCGTCGAACACCTGCACCCGGCAGGACACCGCCATCGACCAGCTCGTGGCCGGCGGCAGGTAGAAGAAGGACATCCGCCGGGCCAGCTGATTGGCCGTGTCCAGGATGGTCACCCGGTCATCGCGGCTGAAGGAGGCCAAATCCGGCGGATGCAGCGTCTCCGAGTACGAGCAAATCACAATGCTCAGGGCCGCCTCGTGGGCCAGGGCCCCGAGGCTCGGGCAGTCAAGCAGGAAGGACACCATCCGCGGCACCCGGCGTAGGACCTGCTGCAGGTGGTCTTCCTCCCCGGTGGCCGGGGGGGGGGCCCCGGCCATCGCCCGGGCCTCCGGCGAGGGCGGCGACTCCGGCGATCCCGGAGGCCAACGCGGCAGGAACAGGCGGAATTGCATCGGGGGGAGGGGCCGGCGCGGGACGTCGTCATTGGCCCCGGGCGCCCGCTCGTCCTGAGGGCCGGAGCGGGAGGAGCTCATGGCGTCGGGAGGAAGGGGGGGG